AATTATTAATGATATAGATTTTTTTTTCCTTTTTATTATTAACAGGTGAATATTGATAAATAAAAAAGGTATATATGTAAATGTAAATGACATTGAAGTCAACTGTCTATCGACTTCCTTAACATCAGCACATCAACATATAATAAAAAATATGCACTTATTTTAGGTATTATATATTTTGTCTTTTAATAAATTATAGGAAAATTAGGAATTTCTTTTACGGGATACTTGTGCGCATGCGTGAAGGCGGTGACCAATTAGGGTCATTTTAATATTGTTTTATTTCTCATTTCCCTACGATCTAGATCCAATTTTTTACCCCGTGTCAATTCCTCATAAATATAGACAATCAACCATAAAACAATCGAGGTAATATGAGAAAACCCGATGAAGAAAAAAAAATAAAAATAACAAAGTGAACAAATTTCCTAGCTGGCAACCGACCCAATAGTAAACACAAGGATCACGAGGAAATTCATCAGCGTCTTCTGCCTCCCTCATTTATCGCTCCTTTTCAGCCTCTCTCGAGAAAAAGGGCCAAAATGTCGATAGCTAATATGGAAAGTGAGTATCTGCTGGTTTATCTGCGTGAAAATTGGCTCGTGAAAGGGTGTGTGCTTAGTGCTAGAGGGTTTTATAATGTCACTGTGTTTTTTAGGGACGAAATTTTACCGAGTGACATTTCCTGCTCTTTATTTGGGGGTTTTGCGGATTTCCCGATTTTTGGCCCTATTTCCCAGATTTTTGCACCTATTTTCCAGGTTTATGTTGGCGTTACTCTCTCTCACGGGTGCGATAGGGGTGGTTTTGGTGTTATGAGGGAGAGTTTTTGCATTACATGGTGAAACTTTGTGATTGGTGTGCATATGATTTCCTGGTTTAAAAAAAAGGCTAAATGTGTTAAATGAATGGTGTCTTGATATTAATAAATGATATCTAAATATTAATTGTTTATATGTTAATTGTCTAAATATTATGTCTAATTGTTAGTGATGTTTTGTGATTTGCTAATGTATTATATATAATATTTGACTTTCAGATTAATTATACCTATAAGGTGTCTTCTGTATGCATCATGGGAGTTAATTTTGGATTAAAGGAAATCCAGATCCACAGTATTTGCACGAATACAAGACTCACTGCCAGACAAACGAGGCAATGCGATTATCAGTAAATATTCTGTTTCACACGAAAAAGTAGGATGTGTGTAACGGCAATTAGCTTTCACCCTCTTCAAGTTTCATATCATATCCTAAACTGAAATGAGATACTTGTAATATCAATGAGTATTCGAGTGAGTTTTCTCCGAGAGCTCTTTCTCGTGTGTGACTGCCGGGGGTAGGTAGTTTTTTTCAGGAAGTTGCTAGCGAGGATCATGATAACAAATGTCCATGCAGTTTAGAAGTCACTGTAGTTTAAAGAATCAGGAAGTTTTTACTTTGAATTTGAAAGCTAAGTGTGATGTTATGCTTTCTTATTTTATTCAGTGTATATATTGCGTAAGTTGGAATGTTTTTCCAATCAGGAAATAACATTGCCTTTTTTGTGTCTGTAAACTCTGGAATTCTATGTAGGATTTTCTTTTTGTTTTTCTTTTCAATGTTGGGAGTTATAGCTGCAGTTTGAATATCCCACAACTTATATGGATGAATTTTCACATACATCTTTGACATGAAAATGCCAGAATTTGTTTTGTTATTGCTTATTATAAATACTAATGGCAACTCCATCTTTTCAATGGAGTTGATGAGGTTGTTATGATGTAACAGCACATGGTAGGTGGGATCAAGTAGTTAGCTATGCGCATTTGCAGGATTAACCCCTTGCCGCCGGGTGACGGCGATACGCGTGTAAACAAATCGCTCGAAAGGTGGCGTGCGGCCAAACCAGCCGGCGGCGCGCCAAAGCGCGGCGAGCCAGTGATTCGGGCTGACGCCCCGTACTCCTGCGCTCAAAGTCGGTGCGCTGCCTTTGTTTGCCAGAGCGTAGAGTTTTATTTTCCTTTAGTACACCCGGCGTCATTGGGTTAATCTTTGAACTCAAAAGTAAAGCCTGGTCCAGAGGTGAATTAAAATCAAGCCTGGATGCTGCCATTCTGCATGCGCAATAGAGATCTAGAGTAAACTTTAATGCTGGATTAACTTTTATGGCGTGTACAGGAGACGCCCAATGTGAACTTTATAGGTTGCATTTATTTAGCATGTTGACACATTAACAAGGACATGAATATTTATAAAAAAAATCAGTGATCTGATCAATTTCTCAAATAGTTCTGCATAAAGTCTATCAATACCCAATAGATCTGATATAGATGGATTCCTCATGTCTTGTGTGCATTTTTAGCAGTTGTAAGTGATATTAGACCTGATAGGTAGGGAGGGTGTGAGGTATTCCAGGGAAATTGTGGGGTTGAATTATGCAGTATTTATGCATTTCTGTCATTGCTAGGGAGCTGCACCCCCTATATACTCCCTAGGGGCTAATTGGCATGGGTCTGAGTGATGTACCTGTGTGAGTGACTTCATAATCCAGCTGAAGCAAAGGCTCTGTAAAGTAACAATTCTTGCAGCATGCTTTGTCCCAAGTTACTGTAAATTATTGAAGTTTTCACTCACTGAAAGTGTGTATACTTATTGGTTCTGTCTACTGTTACTGCTTTATTTAGTTTGTAGTCATTGATAGGAATCCAATAATAGCAAATTAGTTAGATTTTGAGATGCAGATTTCGTTTTAGAATTGTATGAATCAATCAATTATTTACTTCCAGTATTTTCTTTGTGAAAATGACAATTCATAGTGATACCAATTATTGCCTTGGTTACATTGTTCATTTGTGATTGGTTGAGAAATATTGTATGGCAAAGGGGAAAAAAAGTGTTAGAATAGCCAAGAAATACAATAAATTCACAAGGAAATTAGAATTGACCCTTAATTTATCTATGGAAGAATCCTTTATGGTTGTTGAGCAAATAGGAGCCAACAGTGGAAGAGACGCAAGTGGTTTTGACTCGCGTTTCTATTTACTCAGTGTTTTCCGTTACTTGTACTTATGCATTCGATACATGTATATAGATAAGTGATCAGAAAGAAAGAGAAACTAGTTGGGCTCTTTCTGGGATTCCAAGGGAACTAGGTAATAGTTATATCATGATAGTTTTGTTAGATATCATATTGAAAAAAAAAAAAGGTAAATTGAGCATACATAGGTCTCTTGAAGCCTCAAATGTTTGCATATATATGTTTCAGTGTTTTATACCTTCTTTTATCATCATCAGGATCATATATACAAATTTCCTTCATATAGGAACAAAGATAATGCTTATAATATGCAACCAGCTGGTTCGTAGATGGGAAAAGGCACTGAAAAGAGAGACAAAGGGGGATGCAAAGGTAGGAAGGAAAGAGAGAGAAAGAGAAAGGAAAACAAGAGAAAAAAAGAGTGTAACAGGGTGGGGGAGGCAGCGGTGATGAAATAAAAAATAATGTGGGTAGTAAGGACGGAATATAGTAATAGTACACACAGTAAACATGTTCGCATTTGTATATATGATAAAATGTAACGGTAATCATTCTCACGTATGTTTTCACCTTTGATGAAGTTGGAGAGTAAACAGTGCCATGGAGATGATCAATTGAAACTAAAAGCAGAAATGTTAATAATGTCGTTGCTGAAGAATTATTCTTTTATGTCGCTATTTGCATATTGATGTGGCTATTATGTTTCAAAGTCTCTGCTCCTTTTTTGTCAAGAGTTTGTTGGTAATGTTTTTTGTAAAAGAGAATCATGAAAATTTGATAATACAGTAAATTTTAGTTTCATGATAAAGTCTAAATGATTTGGAAGATAAAATTGAAATTAATACATACTCCCCAGTTCTGATTGTAAGTTTAATGAGAATTTGTTTCTGCTTTATGATATACTTTCTATATTGAAAATTCTTAAAAAGCCAGTGATTGATGGATAAGTTTGTCGTTTATTTCAATATTTTCATCATCACACTTTATCTAGAAGGCATTGTGCATTTGTAGAGAAAAGTATGAATGAGAAAGAATATCTTCTTAGTGCAAGAGATGTATTTGACCAGTTGTGATTTTAACCATTAGAAATTAGTGTATTTCTGACAAAGATATAATTAAAACTAGATAAATACATCTCTTGTACTATGAAAATACTCCAAATCATTCGCACCTTTTTTCTACATTTGTCACAAGGTTGCAGGCTTTCCATTACAAGTAAAATCAAGTTGCAGTTGGATTTGGACAAAAAGATTGATTATGAGAAACAAGTCCCTTTATAAAATCTGTACCAGTTATCTTCTAAACATTCCCCAAAATGAAGTAGCTTGCTGCCCATGTTTCCAGTCTGCCACTGCTAAATTGTCCTTTATTGATAGGTTTATGCTATATTTATAGGAGGAGGTACCACCATTTTCTACAAATGATTTTGAAACATTGTGGATCATCAGTAATGAAGTCATAAACACATTCAAGATTTACCCTCAATAAACAAACATTAATCTTTGCTTCAGAGCATCTTTTCAACCTGAAGTTCGCCGCCAAGGAGTTGGACCGGCAGTCAAAGAAATGCGAGAAGGAGGAGAAAGCAGAGAAGGCCAAGGTGAAGAAGGCCATAGCCAAGGGGAACATGGATGGCGCTCGCATCCATGCCGAGAACTCCATCCGCAACAAAAGCCAGGCCCTGAACTACCTCCGCATGTCAGCCAGAGTCGATGCAGTGGCCTCTAGGGTTCAGACTGCGGTCACACAGCGCAAGGTATGTGAGGGTGGTTCTTATACGGTTGAAAATGTTTTTGGAAAGTTTCACAGAAAATTTGAGGGCTTGATAGGTATTGGCTATTTGTTATCAAGTTCTGAAATAAACAAGGACTCTTGTGTGGGGAATTTATATTACAAATATTTTAAGTAAATAAATGCCTACTCTTGTCCTCAGCTGTAAAACTTCCCAAATTTTCATGTTCTCCTTGGGGCAATTTTGTCATTACTGTTTGCAGACCTAGACTTTACAGACCAAAAAATAATGTCACAAGCAGCCATGCCAGGAGATAACTGAATATCAATATAAAGATAGGGCTCCTTGGGGAATAGGGCAGGAGTTGGGTGCGTGGTTGTCGTGGTCTGGTGCCTTGGAGAGGTGTGAAGCGAAGCAACCCAGACACACGCAGCCTGGTAAGGTAGAGGTGATGAGAGAGATTAGTTCGCTTTGGCCTTGTGGATGGAAGAAAGATGCCACACAGTACCAGTTATAGTAACTTATCCTATCTCTATGCTTGGCTAAGGAGCATCTGAATTTTAGGGATTAAACACTAATCAACACAATGTAAAATGAATGGTTAAAAACATTAGATTTAGGAAATCTTAGCATCTGAAAGCTTTGCAGAATGTTTTGAGTCGTTAACCTAGGCTTCTTTAAATTAAATTCATATTCCACCTTTTGCAGCTACAGTGATACTTGAAAAAATCATTTATGCAAAAAGACATTAATAGGAACCATAATGCAGAAACAAAAATTCTTGGATAAAACAGGATGTATGATATGCCTGAGTAATCAATCGTTCATTCCCTCACTCTGTGCAGGTAACACAAAGCATGGCGGGCGTGGTGAAGAACCTGGATGCAGCCATGAAGAGCATGAACCTCGAGAAAATCTCAGGTCTCATGGACAAGTTTGAGAAGCAGTTTGAGGACCTGGATGTGCAGAGCTCGTACATGGACACTGCTATGAGTGACACCGTGACCACTGCTATACCCCAGGACGCTGTCAATGGTCTCATGTCACAGGCTGCGGATGAGGCTGGGTATGTCTGTGGTTTTTATTTTGTTCTTCACTGTTATCTTCTTGAAGTTGAATAATGAAAGAAATATTGTTACCCCTTATTCATGTTTAACCAAACACAAAACTGATTAGTTTTCATTATTATTATCAATATTACTGTTTTCTTGTTCTCTCTTGTGCAAAGATCTTGCTAAAACTATCCAGGATGAAAAAATATCTATTTTTTCCAGACTGGAGTTGAACATGGAGCTCCCATCAGGCAGCATGTCCACGATTGGGGTGGGGGCAACACAGGCCAGCCAAGACCAGGACGAACTGACGCAGAGACTAGCCAAGCTCCGTAACTCATAATTTCCTCCGAGACCTTCCACGAGCAAAAAGAAAAAAAAAAAAAGGAATTATTTTTCTCACTAAATTTACACAGAAGCCAGTTGACACCATGCATTTGGAACGAAAGTGTCATTTGTCTCACTCGCATCATTTTGCGCATGTTTTTAGGTTCTTCTGAAGGTTGTTCGCCAAATTGTCACACCAGGCATAGTGAAAAAAAAAACAAAAAAACTTTGCTCTGGTTCTGCATTGGGGCCTTAAATACCCTTCCTCTTCTCTGTAGTTTGCCAAGGTATGACAGAAGTAAACAGGTGTGTATAGTAATTCAATTTTAGGGTGCAAGAGATTACTTTAGGGTTGTACGCTTGATATCGATAGTGGAATTCATGTCTTGAGTGTTGAAAAGATAAAATGGTATGTCATAGCTACTCTGTCTGTTTTTTTATTGTATCATTTCATTTTCATATAATTATTTTTTCTTTCTTACTTAACGCTTATTTTGTCTGATGACTAAGATGTTAAGAGTCAGACCTTTCACTCTGACACATGTTGCATTGATCATCTTTCTCAGCCATTTGATTATTTGATCATTTTAAAACCTGATTTTGTAGGTGACAATAAAAAAAATATATGTTAGGATTCACCGTAAATTCATTATTATCTTCCAAGTTCACCTCTCCATATTTCAAATACATATGTCAACATTGGCCTGTTTGGATGTGGAGAGGAATGGATATTAAATATTATATATATCCTATACATAAATCAATAACTGTAAAGGCTTTACCAGAAATTTGTTATAAAGGTGATTGGCCTTACATTATTGTCAACATGTTATAGGCAATACAATGTACTATATGGTAAATAGAATTTCAAAAATGAAATACTTTTTCTTTGAACTATGGCTTGGGTTTTAAAATGTAGGTGCTTGAAAGTCCATGATACATGACTTTCTCAGATGCAGTAACTATTTTTTTTCTGCTTCTCTATTTTGTTAGGTAAACATTGATAAATTTATACTAGTAGATTAACCCCTTGTTTGCGGGTGGCATCAACTATGGTGCCATGGAATGCAACCCCACAGATGCGGCCCATACAGATATACCCATTTGGCAGATCGCATGGCTGCCAGAAAAAGCCCGCGCACATTGGGTTAACCTATTTTGAAGAATGAAGCACTCTGGGACTGATTCTTAAGGCTAAAAGATTGTTAAACCCAATTTTGTATTAGTAATGGTAACACTTGACAGGTATAAATTGTACTTATAAGCAGATTATTGGATTCATACTTTACTTAACTATCAGGCAAGGAAATGTGTTCACAGTATTCACTTAATAAGTTTTGAAATTAAATATATAAAGTCTAAGAGCCATTTATATATAAATATATATTATAATGGGAGAGGGGGATGGATTTTATCATTCTGACAACCAAAAACTTCATATTCAAAACTATATTAAGATTTTTTTCTTCTATTTAGTCATAAGGAAAAGTTATGTTTTTAACATATAAATAATAGAAAAGCTGTCTCTGATTGCTTCACCCTTTATGTTTATGATAAAAGCTATCATACAAGCTTGAAGTGTGATAAAGCTCTTAGGTTACTCTTAAATTTATTGGAGATTATAGGACATACTGAATGAAGTCTTTCTTTGCTCTGACATCCAGCTATTTTAAAGAAAAAAGACAGTGTGCTTATTGTCACAGGAGAAAACTGGCTTGTGTGTTTCCCCTAGGCCCTGTCCACACTCCAAGCTAGCTGGTGCAAGCAGGCTAAAGCAAGAAGTTTCACAGCTTTGTAATCTAAACATGCATCCATGCTGCCACCAAGTAAATTTGGAGCAACAAGAACAGTTAACTGTAAATTTTTTTCGCTTAGAATTTGCAATGCAGTAACAGTACTTTTAATCAGTGATAACATACAGACAGGCCAGCTTTCAGCCAGGTTGGACGTGGTTTTAGAATTTACAATGTCCGTGAACATAGAACTTTGGATTGTTATCGTTTAATAAAACCGACTTCATTACAGGTTCACATATATATAGATATATTTTTTTGTTTGTTTCTGCATTGATTTTGTATATAGTATCTAGGTGATGTGTTTTATATGATAAACTCCTGAATTTTACTTGGCCACTCAATTGACACTTTATATGAAACTATTAAATTAGAGAAAATTTGTTCCTTTTGTTTTCTCTTCACCCTGTTTTGTTATATAAGAGAAATAGCAAAAATGTACATGTATGAGTAATTGAAGAAATTCCAAATGACATCTTCATATTTTAAAAATCTAAATGTTGCATTTTCTTGGAAGAAAGTCCCTCAAACATTTCCCACATCTAATTAGTGTTACTTGTTGATTGATTTAAAACTTTCAGCCGTGTTAACATCTAAGGTCATTAACAGTGTATTCAAAATACAGTGAAAGTGTGAGGGTTGGAGACAAAGCCCCCAGGAAAGGAAGTGCTATGTGACATCAAAGGTCAAATGGCACTATGGTCAAGTAGTGAAAAGGGTTAGGAATGAGTTACTGATTAGGGTAAAGGTGTAGGTTGAACAGTATTAGAGGGTATCATAGTTGTGAAAAGGAGCATCTTGTACACTTTTTTATCAGTTCGTAGTCCCGTCACATTTTCCGTTTTATATTCTAATTGTTTTATATACTTTTATATAGATTTTCTACTACTTTCATCTATAAATATCACTGGTTCATTGTAAATAATTTCTTAAGATCTGCTTTAAATTCTAAGGTGATATGTTGCATCCACAAAAATATTTTGATCTGATGAAAAAAAAAAAGATGCTGTTCAAGTATTGAAGTTCAAAAAATGTAATTATTCAATACACCCCATCCCCCCCACCCCCCACCGAGATGAATATATCTAGAAAACGGTACATTAAAAGAACATGTAAAGTTAAAACTAATCTCTTTATAAAAAAACATTTACATAAATATATACAAACGACCAATATCACAAGAACTATGAATCCTTGTTGAAGGCAAATGCTGCAAGCTTGTTGATGCCGGATCCCTTGGCCTTCTTTTCAACGGGAGATTCTGGAGTGGTTTCCTCGCGTTTGCGCTTTTTGTCGTCTTCGGTTGGGGCTGCGGTCGTTTCTGGTGCGGGGGTTGCTGTGGCCGTATGGGTGCCAGCTGCCAGGGCTTTGTATTTCTGGAAAGTTTGGTGGTCATGATTATTTTGGTTTGTTTTTCTCTCTGTTATTTATAGTCTTAGTAAGGAATTCAAGTAATACACTCAATGATCTAGCCATCAAAAGTATGTAAAATAAAGGGTAACTTTAGTTCACATGTATCAGCTTTTTACAGGTTTTATGGCAAAGATAATTTTATGCAAATATTTTAGCATTATCAAAAGAGAAAGCACACAATGGATATTGATTCACAAAATAGATAAATAAAAATAATAAATAAATAAAAAATAAGGAGGGAAGGGAGGATGCATAAACGTATATATATAAAAAAAGAGTCAGAACCGGCCATACCTGCTTAGTATCAGCATCCACATCTTTGAACATCATTGCAGCCTTGGCCAGCAGGTCCTTCTCACTAGCATCAGGATACCTTTCCTTCACTGCCTTCTCATTATCGGCCAACCACAGCTGTAGTGCCGACTGCTTCTTGGGAGGAGTATCAGTGGCCTTCTCGGCTTTCTTAAATGGGTTTGTTGCAGATGGCTTGGGGGTCTCGTCAGGTATGTTCTCAGACACATTTTCCTTCCCTGAGGCAACCGGTGGGTCTTCCTGCGAATCTTTCTTGAGCGTTGTCTGCTTGGCCTGGGAAAAAGAAAAACATTAAACCAAGACTAAAATGAGGTGAAGAACTGAAGATACTTTATCTACATTCCCATCCTTATGGCCTGGCTTCAAGTAGTTTATATGATAAAAATAAATAAAATAAATAAATAAATAAAATAGGTAAATCATAAGTTGGCAGTAAAGTTTATTAAAAAAAAAACTGTGCTGGACACCTTTCATCCACATACACTAAGTGGTTTATGTGGGTCATGATGTTTTGCAAGCATATTTGAAATAAGTGCACAAAACTACAGTTGATAGTTTGCAGATTCTTGTGGTTAGGGCAGAAGCTGGGTTTGACAGAGTTGGGAAGCACTCAGTTGTCACTGTTAGGAATGCTATCAATAGCTTGTGTTGTGTTGTGTTGAGCACACAGACTTATCTATATTCAGGACTGTACTGAAATTTTTTCATGGACTGGTACATCATAAAAAAATAAGCAATAGGCATCCCAGAAAACAATTCAACAACTGCTGCAAAAAACAACTAGAAGGCTGATAATAAAATTCCAGAGACACATGAACCATATATCACAAACATGGCATCCCCAGCTTCCAACACTACGCCTCTCCTTTCCTACCTGTGGCTTTTTGACGACAGGCCGCAAGACAGGGCTGGAGTCCATCTTTTTCTGGGCCTTTCTGAACTGATCGATGACGTTGATGCCTCTCTTTCCACTCTGAGGTGCCGATGAAGGAGTGCCACTTTTCTTGAAGGGATTCTTTGAGTTCTGTGAGGAGAGGAGGCCGCTGCGTGGGGTGGCGTTCTCTCTTCTCGATGCAGCTGCTAGTAATGGGTTGTCTGCAAGGTGGAAGAAGGGTTGTAAGTTTTATATCTTTTGTCTATAAGACATGAAATTAAACAGAGCATAAATCAGATTAAAGGGAACGACAGATAAAAAACCTGGCTACTCACCGACGACGGATTCTTCCCCATTTTCCATTGATTCCTGAACCTGCTCTGAATAATCGTCCTCTTCATCCTCCTCCTCTTCACCTCTTGTTCTTATTCTCCTCATGCCACTGCCATACCTGATGAATGAAACAATTCTGATAAAACTCAAAAAAATTGCTCAAACGTCAAATCAGTGTTACAAGAAAGTGACAAGAATTACACTATTTCTTGTTACAAGCTTGCAGTGAGATCTTATGAATAAACATTAACCAAATATAGTACTAACCAAGGATATCACAAATGAGATGGCAACCTTATACATTATCTTTGGTGTTGCCATGAATAAATTAAAACATTTTGATTTCTTTTATAATGACTTAGGCATTAATCAAGAAGACTGCACAGTTTCAATAAAACATCAAGCTTTCAAAACGGTTTTAAAAAGTCACAAAACAACTATACATTTGTAAATCGTCTTCCTCAACGCCTTGTAGCTTGGCAGCCTTCTCCATTTCCTCCTGCATTTTGGCCGACGCGACCTCGCCCAGTTTGTCGGCCAACTGGAGGCGGTGAAGCTTCCCTGCGTACTTTATGGCCAGCTGGACAGTGTGGTATGACGGCATCAACTGGCAAACTTCCAAGGCTCGAGACTCACGCTCAGTGCGGCATGCCAGCTGGGGAGAGGGGGGAAAGGCTGATTTCTTTTATCTTGTCTTTGAAAATACAGTAAAAAAGGAGTCATTATATGCAAAAATATAATATTTAGGAAATATGAAGAGGGCAATATAAATATGTAAACATGCAGAAAGAAAGAAAATATATTGGAGAAAAGAGAGAGAGAAAAAAAAAAAATTGGTTGAATATGAGGGATTTTTTTCTCTTCTTTCAGAAATAAGTAGAAACTGAAAATCACTTTCACATGAAATGACCATAACCCAATCTGAGGCAAAATTTCCCTCCCAACCCCCACCCCCTGCCCACACCCAACACTCACAGCAAACAGTTTAATCATGGCTTCCTTCAGGATCTTGTCGGCTTCATTCTTCGAGTCCTCAATGTCGTAGCCGAGCCGCCCAAGTCGCTCCAGGGAGTTCAGCAGCAGACCAGAGCGCAGCGTCTTCTCTTCGAGGCCGCCCTTCTCGGTTTCCAACTCGCACAATGGCACCTAGAATACAATAGGTGAGGATGAGACAATCTGCTTACTTCCAAGTGACAGTTTAATTCTCACTAACATTAGGTTTGAAAAGGCTATGCTGAACAACATAAAAACATAATATTATTAATCTACATTAGGAAAAAAAAAAAAAAAAAAAAAAAAAAAAAAGCTCTAAAAAAAATATGGTAGATATTGTCTTATATACCTGTATGCTAATGATGGAGACATGGGGTTTGGGCAATACAGGGGGATAGCGTCCACCCTTGCAGAGAATGCATCGCACATTGCCCTGGGTCTCACTCACACCCAGCATGAAATAGTTGTCACTCTTGCCTTTTGTCTGCAAAAGAAGAAAATAATAATATTAATAATAATAATAACAACAATAATAATAATAATAACAATTATAATAATAATAACATAATAATAAAAGGTCTAAGCTTCTTATATATGCTCATAGGCAACATTTATACATACTGTTATAAACAATTCATCATCTGTTGCCTTCTCTCTCTCACTCACTCTCACCCCCAACCCTAATTACTCACATGATTCTTTGTGTTGAGGATGACCGTCCAGTTGTAGCCGTACTTGAAGTGCATCATGCGAACAATGCCAGCACTGTCCATGACGGCTGGCGTGCCTTCGTCAGTGAATCCAGCCCAGGCCAGATAGGAGCGGGGGGAGAGGGGTAAGGGGCACGAGAGGGGAACGGGGTGCTTGTTTCCATTCACGCTCAGGATGACAGCTGACATGTGCTGATCGCCAGACACACCTGGAGAAGGGACATAATCGGTCAGGACACATATTCTACTCAATTACTTAACATCTTGAAATCTTGTTATAGTTCATCTGAATCAAGATTGCCACAACATAAAAGAACTCTCCCTACACACACACACACACAAAGAAGCATAGCAAAGGTACAAAATTAACTAAACCTGAGAGCTCTTAATAGAGAGAGGTCTCACCCATGCCACTGTGGAACACGACCATCAGCTGCTCCTCAAACCCAGCCAGACACACCACAGGGCCAGGGATGCTCAGGATATCCCTCTGTATGCCCGACGTTGAGAAGATCCTGAGGTTCCTGCGGTCGGTTGCCACGGCCAGCCAGCCGGCCCCGATGCACAGGGCCAAGATTTCCTCCTCGCTGGGCATGTCCACATGCCACTCCTTGCCTCCCCCCCAGGCTGAAAAGTGCTGCACTGCCAACTTGCTGTGGGGTAGATTGAGACCTTTCATTGCCTTGGAAACCATTCAAGCTTATATCACATATATCCACAAAGGAGTCTGCTCTCAGATTACTAAAGAATAATCACAAGCAGGAGAGATCCTTGTGTCCACGGTTGCCTGCTGAGGGTCCCTGTGGTCTGTTGCAGGGATTATAAGGGCATTATCTCACAAAATTAACTAACTTTACAAATCAAGTGTGCCAAAATACAACAAGATGCATCAACACACCTGAAGTGTTTCATCAGCCTGCATAATGTGACCATAACAAACTTATAAACCCTTGTGTGCCAAGCCATTGAGTGATCAGTCAATTTTCTAACTGACACTATTCTGACAGGCAAACCACCATCTAGCTAGGGATTTACAGTGAATGCCTGAGTCTGATGGCAAGACACCAAGATTACCTAGCACCGGGATTCAGCAGGAGAGTCTAACCGAGGACGGAAAACTCCATACTCATCAAACGCATATTTCATCACCGAGCATATTGGACACTTGCTTGATCACAGGCAGAAATCAAGGCAATTGAACGAACCTTGGCTGGTCGTCCTGGGCTTCGCATGCTAGCGCTAGGGCCTGGGTGGACAGCGCTGCCATGCTGTGCCCACTGTTATTGTTGAGGTGAAGGGCATGGTGCACGGAGGTGTCGTGAAACTCAACATCTATGCTGTTCTCATCCTCACTCGAATACTGGCGCACAATGCCAACATTATTCCATAGCTGCAAAGGATGATTTTAGTCAATTTTCCATAAACAAATTAAGAAAGAAAAAAAAAAAAAAAAAAAAAAAAAATCATAACTAATGCTTATCCTCTTAGCATAAAGGGTATACAAATCATAATATAACAATGTTCAGAAAGGCATACATTCAGAAATCAGATATATAACCAATACCTCCAAAACACTTTCTTACGCATTCTAAAGCTCACCATATATCTGTCGTTGAGGTGCTCCGGGGACATGCCAGGCTGGAAGGGCTTCTGAATCTCGGGGAGCTTCATGACGGGGGCAGGCGGCACCTCGGTCTTGGTGGTGATGATGCTTGCTGCGTCATCGTCCTTCAGCTTTATACCTGCAAATGCAAATAACAATCACTGGCTATCATACATAATCATACTGGAATAATTTCTAATAATCCTTTAATTTAGAACCAACAGAGAAAAAAACAAAAAATAAAAATAAAATAAATAAAGTCATACTTCAGCACATATAAATCAGATTCCACCTACTTGGGTCTCCCTTGGCGAGATCACTCTCCTCGGGCAGTCCAACAAACGTGCCTTCCTCGTCATCTGCAAACCCTAACTGCTGCTTGATCTTAGCCAGTGAAAATTCATCCTCTTCCTCCGCCATGTCCACGTCAACCGGAGGGAAGACCGCTGCTCCATCTCCCTTTTCCGAGTCCGGAATGCTGTCTGATTTTCCCTAAGAGACACATGTGAAAACTGAAGGATTTTTTGCATTTCATAGAATTCAGAACTTCAGATGAGCATTTTTGGGGGTATTCCTATCATGAAGCCAAATATCACCTACATGCTTTCCTGCTGCATGAAATAAAAACAATTTGTATAAATGTACAGCAAATATTACATTATCAAAATACTTAACTCAATAGAAGTCAAATAATTAAATGAACATAATTCTTTAATCAAACTAATTCAAAGATATCAGTATATATGAATTACTAAATGCCCCGTCAAACGACATGTTGACTCTCCCCCAAAAGACTTACTGGTTTTGACGAATAGTCTCCCTCAATGATGTTCTCCAGCGTCCCCAACTGCCCATCACAGTCGACGAACGCCAACTCCTCCTTCCCGCTGGGGTTCCACGCTATTCCCGTTATGGCAAGACCTTTGGGATGCTTCTCTGAGAGGATGATCTGGCGGCTGCTGGCATCCCAAACCAGGATCACGCCATCTCGACAAGCCCCGGCAACAAACCGCCCACAGCTGGAGACTGCAGCCAAGGATACTGTCTGAAATTCAGAGATACACTTATCAAAAAGGAGGTACTTGTGTCTACACGTCCTAAAATTAATTACCATAACAATAATGACCAATGATCAGAACTAAAGATATCAAAAACATACTAATGTGACAAAGTCACAAACAAAAAAACACTTAGAGACCAGAATGCAATTTCAAAACAGATTTTTTAAAGAACATAAATTTCCTTTCATGGAATTCACAATTACAACCAGGTCATACATCAGCATAATCAAAACAACGGGTTTACCTTTTAATTTTTTCATCACAATTTAAGTCGTTTTTTTTTTTTTTTAATCAAGTTGAAATAATTGGACACTATAATAAAATCTTGACAATATCACAAACTTATCGTGTAAGTCTGCTGGCAACCAATCAACCATGACACCTGACATTCTGAGTCACACAAGATCTATCACCCCATAAAAAACATACCTCTTTTATAGACTCATGCTCCAAAGAATGGTGAATCTGCCAGTCCTTCCGAGCATAAGCGTGGACCTTCATCCCCACTGGAACGAGGAGGTACTGGCCATCTGACGTCCAGGCCATGCGACACAAGGTTTGGGAGGACGAGAAGCTGTTCGTCTTGGGCACGACGTTCCAGGAGGCCACCGACACAGATGTCTGCAGGTCCCACACCTTCACACTCCCGTCGCATGAAGAGGACGCCAAAAACTCCCCTGAAGAATTTGGAGAGATTAAACATTGTAAGTTTTAAGATGAGGGAGGCAAGCTGACCTGTATATACATACAAGCAAACATAAATCAAAACAAAAAGCAAAAAAAAATTACAAAACAATAAAGACTTTGACGTCCTACAACAACAAATATAAACAGCTGACTTGTAAACCCCACTATCATCATTTCTTGCAACTCAATGCCTTTCATTTAGCACAGAACAGACCAAGCTCACTAACCTTTAGGATCCAAGGCAACAGAGAGGACAGGAGCTTGGTGACCATTCAGGACCTTGTCCTTGTATGCCACTGTGTCATGGACCTTGATGGTCATGTCACTGCAAAGTTATACAAAATGCTAAAATCTTATGTATCTTTATCCTATGTAAATAATTATCACATAAGAAGTAAAGCCAAGAAATTAAAAGGTAAAATAAGGATATACCCAAACTTAATTTATCAAATTTAATAAAAAAAGTTAATAATAAATGTTTAATACCAATATATTCACAGACAGACAGACACACACACACTCATATTTGTTAAATTATAACACACAACCTCATATTTGTTAAATTATAACAATAATGATACTAATACTTGTACATCAATTCAACCCATTGCCACTAGAGACATGCTTTCCACTGTAATTTAGGTCTATGAATTTTGTTTGCACACAGATGGCTCCACAAGTACTAAGCCACTAAGGAGTCGTAACTCATAAGCTCTGCTGACTTCTGCTGAAGTTTTGGGACTTTTCTTTCTATTGCTATTAGTATCAATTATGTTATGATCATTATTGACATTATGATTATTATAAGTCTTTTTCCTTTCCTTCTTTTTTAACTGAGGAAAGAATAAACAGGTGAGATAGGTAGGACTAGTCATTAATCCTTGGTAATATAAGCACTAGCAAAGCCATCTATATATAAACAAAATAAATAAACTAAGTTCCCTGTGGAAAAATGCAAAGCCAAGGTCAAAGTCCAAACCAACCAACCTTCCAGCACAGGCAACAGTCTTCGCATCCTTGCTGACAACAATGTGTGTGGTCGGGGCGGTGAACCTGGTGATAATGCCATCGGGAGAGCCTTCGTCTAGGGTGTAGGCTTGGACGAGGTTGCTGTCGGTGCCAACCAAAAACCTCCCGTCCTGTCAGAGTGAGTAATTTTTGAAATATGGAAAACTGCAGGGGACATTTTTTGGAACTCTTGTATGTCCTGGGAAAATAACTAAACAGATAAATGTGTAAGGGTAATTAAACTGAAAAATAATAAGCCTTTCCTAACAAAGTTAAAGGACTGCAAGACTTATTTTGGAGTGTGATAAGCTAATCTATTAAAAACAAGTTATGATAAATGCAAAATTTACCTGTGGAAGAATTTACCTACGGAAAAGAAGTAACAAGCAAGTATTCAACTTTATTTCCAATTAACTTGATATAATGCATGAAATACTTAACTGAATACTGAAAAGCTTATTCTACATAACAGAGAGAATCTGTGTAAGAATAAAAAAGAAAGGAAAGGAGACCTGGAGTAGAACTACAAGCAGAAAGTATAGAAAAGCCAGGAGAGCAGAGGAGAGAGGGAAAGAGGGAGGGAG